TCCAGGAACGGCAAAGGCACATGGCCCGCCACTTGCCGGCTGCTGCTGCTGCTGCTGCTCCTGCTGGCGCGCTCGTTTTCTCCAACGTCCTGGCTTCCTCCCAGGTTTTCCCTTTTGTTTAAGGAAGAATGTCTGCCTCGGATCGGATCACCTTGTTAAAAAAAAAAAGAAAAGAAAGAAAGAAAAAGAAAACCGTCGCACTCTAGGAAGTTGACGATGACGCGTGGGAGGAGCTGGGGGAAAGGAAACCCTAATGGAAGCGCGCCCATTCCGTGCCTGGGTTAAGGCTGGGGGTGATGGTGGTGGTGGGGAAGAGTCTTTGCTGTACCAAACACAATCTGTAAGGGACAGCTGACTTGTAGGCCTGGGTATTTTGTGTGTGTCCGAACGTGCACACAGTACCTTGGCTCCCACTGCTTTGATTTTTAAAATGCTGCATCAGGGTTACCTTTTTTGAAAAAACTATTTTTGCTAGATCAAGGATTGTGGCGAGTTGTTCCAAAGTGGACGTGACTAGGGTTGACTCCTTAACTGGAATGAAAAGTATATCCTTCAAATATGTGGCTTTATAATTGAAAACTTCCCAGTGATCTACTACTCAGAGATTGAGATTCAGATTAGATAATCCATGCCAGTGTAGTTTACAGTTTTATGATTACATTTTAAAAGTTTATGAAGCAGGAGATTTTTACTTTCTGATCCTAACTGTACATGGATGCTCAGAGGGAATCCGTCAGTTCCTGCTTGCCTTTATAAATGGTACTACCAATTTCTCTTTTCGTTGTTTAGCAGACCTGCAAGGATAACATGAAGTGGATTATAAAATTGCTATGAAAGACTCTTTCCTTAAGAAGTCCCAAGTTTATTTGAAATTTTAAACATAGTACTGTTTAAGGAAAGATGCAAACAGTGTTTTGGAAGTTGTAGACTCTTTCCTTAAGAAGTCCCAAGTTTAGTTTATTTGAAATTTTAAACAGTACTGTTTAAGGAAAGATGCAAACAGTGTTTTGGAAGTTGTATGATCAGCAGAATCTACTGTTTTTCTAAGTTGGATTTAGAATATGTTGAGTGTACTCCTCACATAGAATCTGATATCTAAAGACTAACTACATATAAAACCACTGTACCTTCATTGTGTCATGGGATAGAATAGACAAGAGTACACCACTAAATTCGTTTTTGATTCAGAGGTCTTATGATATATCAGAATCTCTAAATGATGTAGGCATGAGTACCCTAGTTTGATAGTCACATGTTCAAACAAAGTTGGAATTTAACATTTGTTGAGTGGACAGTTTTTTGGGAGTAGTAGGACTGCCTGGATGCAGAGGCGGCGGGGGGGCAAGAATTTGAATCTTCTGCTATGCTTCCTGGGAGAGGAATCAGCTGAGACCACCTGGAGGGTACAGTGGGGTCTCTACTTAAGAACTTAATCCGTATTGGAAGGTGGTTCTCAAGTTGAAAAGTTCTTATGTTGAATCTGCATTTCCCATAGGAATGCATTGAAAACCATTTAATCCGTATCTGCTCTTTTCCGTCCATAGAAACTACAGTGGAACCTCTACTTAAGAACTTAATCCGTTTTGGAATGGTGTTCTTAAGTTGAAACGTTCTTAAGTTGAAGCAAAATTTCCCATAGGAATGGACTGAAAACCAATTAATCCATTCTGGCTGTTTTTTTGTTATGTAGAGGTGCGTTTGTACATTGAAGCATTAGTTCCCATAGGAACTAATGCAAAGCTGGTTAATACGTACTCTACCACTAGGGGGACAATTTTTTTTTAACCTAAGATGACCTAAGGTTAAAAAATGAGCAGGAAAGGTTTTTTTTCCTGTTCTTATCTTGGATTTCTGTTCTCAAGTAGAAGCAAAATTTAGCAAATGGAGCTGTTCTTAAGTTGGATTGTTCTTAAGTAGAGACGTTCTTAAGTAGAGACCCCACTGTATGTGGATGGTGAGTCAATGGGTCCAGCCATATATGGGGCCATAGACAAGCTGCATAGCCCCAGAGGGCCCCAAGAAAGAGGAACTAATAGATCACACTAGAGTAATTTATATCTTGAACACCCTTGGAGGGTTGCCATAAATCAGAATCAGTTTGAAAGCACATACTTATTAATTAGAACCTGAGGGTTAAAGAAAATAATCTAGTACTGATTTTTGCTCAGGGCCCAAACTCTTCTTATCTGTCTTACTCAAATAATTTTATGGACTTTAGCTTCATCCACTAGAAAAGATTTTCTTATCAATACAAAGACAGCAAGGCTATTTATAATTTTTAAGCATTACAGTGGACCCTCGACTTACAGACGGCTTGACTTACAGACTTTTCGAGTTACAGACTTCTCTGGCTGCAAAATTTAGATTCGACTTGCAGCCGGAGAATCGACTTACAGACCAGAAAAAAACCAAAATGGAACAAAAATAGAATAAAAACTGCCAGTTGTGGGATTAATCAGTTTTCAATGCATTGTAGGTCAATGGAGATTCGACCTACAGACTTTTCGAGTTACAGCCACCGCTCCAATACGGATTAATTCCTTAAGTAGAGGGTCTACTGTAATGGCTTGGAGCAACAGTTGAATTGTATGTTTTGTGGTAACTTGTGTTTTCACTGTCGTTCCAAAAAATTTGGAACTATACTGCATTTCAAAATGCAGGTGCCATGTTTTTCTAAATACATTGTGTTCTATTCCATAAATTCTAAAATGCTCAAATTTACTAGCAAGGAAGGTAGGACAGAAATTGTTTGGATGATCCTCAGTGTAGAACCTCAGAGCAAAGCACATTAACCTGTGATATGTTTTCAAATTGTCCCTTAATCTTTTTGTACCTTTTGCATGTGTGCCAGCCTATAAAGATTCTCTGTTAAATTCTGAAATATAAGACTTTCAGAATGTATAATTAACTTTCTCTTGGTAATGCTCACTCCAGGTTGAAAGAATGAGTGACTAACATTAAATGTCTCTTTTACGGCATTCTTTCTGTGCTACATGAAGTAGCATAGCTTTGTGCCAGTATTAAGTATATTAAAATATTCCATTTGAAAATTTTGTACTGAATTGCAGGAGTCTTGCGTACTGTGGTAGAGGCAGCTAAATCTGGAGTGTCTGTTCTCAGCTTGTGTGAGAAAGGGGATGCCATGATCATGGAAGAGACTGGCAAAATCTTTAAGAAAGAGAAGGATATGAAGAAAGGTAATGTACAGCTTCAAACCTATATTTTTGGCATGAAAATCATACATCTGTATTTAGAACAGTAGTCATTTTTTCTTATATGTGCTAAGATGTAAATGGCAATATTGTTAGGATGTAGAACAAAATTTGAAGTGACCAATAAATGCAACCAGATTTTTTTCCTGTGGCTTGCTACAGGAGGTTCTTTGCTGCTTTCAGGCATGTGGAAAAGTCTGTGTTCTGAAGCTGGATCAGTCATTTCCATTCATGCTGATAAGTCTGAATAGACATTCTTTTTTTGCCAGCGTAGAGCTTTGTGAAAATCTTTTCTCTAACCACTAGAAAGCATAACTAAAAACATATTTGCAGAAGCTAGGGACATCTGATTTATTAAAGAGGGGAAGAACTGAAGTTCTGTCCCTGACAGAGTTGACTTAAAATTGCTGCAATTAACTTTTCTTCTTCTTCTTGGGACCTGTTCCCCTTGAATCATTGCAGAGTTTTTGAAAGTTGCTATGATAACCATACTACATTAATTTGAGGTGCAATTTTGGAGAGGCAAAAAATAAATAAATGAAAAGGCGTTTGTCAGTCTGGAGGCATTGAGTAGTTGTTGTTCAGGAACTTATATTGTTATCTGCAATGAGAAGTAGAAAGAAATAGGATTTAGGCTTCTTGGCTATAGCTAGAAAGAACCTCGCATGAATTGACACTTAGCCTGTGATGGTCCCTGCAATTATCTTTGCTAAAAAGTTATGTCATAAATTTGCATAGCAACATAGATCTATAACTTTGCATTTTTCTGCAATATTAATACTTCCTGCTGAGGTTGAAGTCAAGTGGCCAGGCAGCTTTATAGAGTTAATTAAAATAATTAAAATAAAAACCAGTGATGTTTTGCCCTAAAGCTAAATTTGATGCTGATTTACAACCGTACTAGAATTCCAAAATTATAATCCTTTGCAGTCCTTTTTCGTCTTTATGGCAGTTATATTGGGATAATTGAAATACTGAGGTAAGCTTTTGTTGATAGTGTAGGCTGGGTGCACACAATAAGAAGAGTTCTAGTAAATTGAAATATTAATAGGGCACACAACTATCTTTAGTTACTTTAGTTGCAATTCTGCATTCGCTTGTTTAAGATTAAACCTATTTGAACACAAAGTTACTTGTATCTGAGTACATATGCCTGAGGTTGACCTGTTGAAGTGTTTTTTGCAGTTGACTTACCTGTTGACTGAGTAGAAATAATCTTTCGGAAAAGTAGTATATTACTTTCTGGAAAGGTGATTAATGCTCCATCAGCTATTCTAAGTAACATCTTGGGTGCCTCCGCCTAATCATTGACCAATCCAAGCTCATTGTAAATTGAGGAAGATGTTAAAGTTACAAGACAAGTTAGAGCAGCTGTAGTTGTTACTGTGCCTTCAGAGCGTCAGCAGAAAATACAAGAGCAATCCAAACTAGCAGTTATGGGACTGTTGCAACCTTTTAATTACTTTAGAAAACTTGTGTTCCAAATTCAAATTGCTGCTTTTGTGACTGGGCTAATGGCCATCCTGCTTAGGGACTCACATTATGTTTTCAATTCTGCTTTAAAAGAAATGTTAAAATGGCGAAAATTGTGAAATAAACCTAATCATATTAAAATAGTGTCGTCCAGGTGTGCACCTAATAAAATGTTGCATCTGAGTATTGTACAGGGCTTGTATGATCTCATCACTGCTCCCTTTTTTGTGTAGGTATTGCCTTCCCCACAAGTATATCGGTAAATAACTGTGTCTGTCACTTCTCCCCCTTGAAGAGTGACCAGGATTACATCCTCAAAGATGGTGATTTGGTCAAAGTGTAAGCATTTTACTTGGGGGGGGTATCTATTGTCTTGTTCTACTGTCAGCTGTGTACTTGGAACTACAGTGGTGCCTCGCACAACGAGTGCCTCACACAACGATGAATTCACACAACGATGCCTTTTTCTGTTAAATTTGCTGCCTCACACAGTGATGTTTCTTATGGGGGATTTTCACACAACAATCTCCCTTTTCGCTCCTGTAAAAGTGTCTTACAATGTTTGGACGCTGTTTTAAATGATTGCAATGGTTAGTCCACCTCCTGAAACCTATGCAAACTGATTTTGGTGTTGTTCTGACACTTCGTTAATTTATGATGATTTTTTGAATTTTCTCCATTGGAAACCATTGGATGGTCTGTCTAATGGTTTCCAATGGAAAAAACAAAAAATCATCATAAATTAACAAAGTGTCAGAACAACACCAAAATCAGTTTGCATGGGTTTCAGGAGGTGGACTAACCATTGCAATCATTTAAAACAGCATCCAAACATTGTAAGACACTTTTACAGGAGCGAAAAAGGACTTCACAAAGGCATTGAAATGTATTGAGTCGGCTTCAATACATTCCAATATAGGAAACATTGTTTCACTTAACGATGTTTCCTATGGGGATTTTCACTGAACGATGGCAATCCGTTCCAATTGGAACGGATTAACCGGTTTTCAATGCATTCCTATGAGAAATGGTGTTTCACAGAACGATGTTTCACACAACGTTGATTTTTTTGGAACCAATTAACATCGTTGTGTGAGGCACCACTGTAGTTTGTTCAGGAGTGTACTGTGCTACTGTACATGGTGCACCCTTCACACCACTTCTGTGAGGGTCAGAGTCCTTTGGCACAGGGTTGGCATCTGTGTTCGTTTTGTTTCAGTGTAGCATGAGTTCTAGCAAATGAGACCAAGGTTGTGTTCTGCCCTTCTTGCTGAGTAGGAATTGTGGCTTTAGCAGCATTTGTGCAAACCATTACTTTTACCACATCATGTTCTGTAGGGCTGGAATGCTGGAGAAAGGTGTTCTTGTAAGCTGTGTAGTTAAGCCCAGAGTGTTACAACAATACCCCGTTTCCCTGAAAATAAGACCTAACCTGAAAATTAGCCCTAGCGTGATTTTTTGGGATGCTCGTAATATAAGCCCTACCTCAAAAATAAGCCTTGTGCAGCAACCAGAAGATGACATGATTGCATCTGAATAAATGTAGAGTACATGAGTAAATAAGCCCTAATGCATTTTTGGAACAAAAATTAATGTAAAACCCTGTCTTATTTTGGGGAAAACTTGGTACTTTGCTGCTTTGTGTGTCTTAAGCCTGTTTTTTTCTCTTTCTGTTGCAGTGACCTAGGAGTCCATGTTGATGGCTTCATAGCAAATGTAGCACACAGTTTTGTCATTGATGCATCAAAGGTAAAGCCAAAACCCCACATGAATTGCAAGTGACTTGAGAAATGATGTACATGGGTTCTTTTAGCTTGTAATTGCTTCTCTAAAGGGAACTTGTGTAAACACCATCCTTCAATAGGGCCAATGTGACTTTGCAGCAGCTAAGAGCAGACTTTAAAAAGGTGGGATGGACAGTGCTTCTGAAACAATGGGAGGCAAAACTAACTCTTGGATATTGTATTATTAATTTTCTGTTGAAGTTGGATGACTGAAATAGTAAGTCGTAGCATCTTAGTCCCTTCAGTAATTTGGAGGTATTGTATGGAAATGGTCGATGCCATCTCAGATTTGTCTGTGACTGAAGTAACATCATTCTGGGCACAGAAAAGAATGGCTTTCACATTTGTTTTTTTCCACATATTCATATCTGTTAAAAAATCATCAAGATGTGGAGTGGACTAAATTCTGTAACTTGAAATGAACAAAATGGGTGCTGAATGGTGAGAGAATTATTTCCTTGCTGTTCTATGCAGCTGTATTCTGCTTTCGAAATTTGTTTGTAGGAAATCTGTTAATACAGTGTTTTTCCTGGGAGGTGAATGCCTTGACTTACGACCATAATCTGTTCCAGAAGATGGATGTAACTTGAAATGGCTGTAAGTCGAAGCACCATTTCCCATTGAAATGCACTGGAACGTGATTAATCTGTTCTGGCAAAAACAAACAAACAAAAAAAGCACAGGGCAAACCCAGTTGGAAGGCGCTGAGGCTTTAAAAAAAGCAACAACCAAAAATAAATGGAAAAGCAAGCTCTGTCACTGGGCTTAAAAAAAAGACCAAAAATAAACAGCAAGGCAAGCCCCGAAGGCACTGGGGCTGCAAAAGAAAACCCCACTAAAAATCAAAACAACAATACAGCACAGAAAACCCCCTCCCGCCCAAAACCACGTTGCAAAACCTACCCAGAACAATTTTTAAAAAGCAGAAAACAGCACCTCACCTTACGAGGCAGCCTCCTGCAATTGCACACTCTATATGCCGGGACAAAGAAGCAGCCTCTTCGCCACCTACAGTTAGCGATTTGAATTTCCTGCCTTTTCCCCCTGCCTTTTTGTGTTCTTAACTGGAAGCTCCGGCCACAAGTTGAAGCAAAATTTTGCGGCCGGAGCAGGTCGTAACACAAAATGGTTGTAAATAGGGACAGTCGTATGTCGAGGCACCACTGTAATACAACTTTTCTCTCCTTCTTTCAGGAAAATCCAGTGACGGGTCGCAAAGCAGATGTCATCAAGGCTGCTCACCTCTGTGCTGAGGCTGCCCTTCGTCTGGTCAAGCCTGGAAATCAGGTGATAATAGGTTGTGGGTTTGCATCAGATTGCTGAAGAACACCAAGGATCAGGAGCGTAGATCCAAGTCCAAGTTTAGTTTGAATATGTAATGAAAAAAAATCTTTGCCCTATTCTGGAAGAAGCTGATGGCTATGTAGGGAACTATGGACAACTGACTACAGAAGCTAGAGCTTCTTGGTGTAATTAGTCAAGAGGCATTCTTCTGTAAAAAACTCCTGTGTTTAAAACTTTGTGATTTTAGGTGCCCAGATGACATGTGAGCCTGTAATTGTAAAAAGTCAATCATTTCTGAAAATACTGTGTTGTCATTGTCTCTCTGTAAATGACTGGTAATGTTTGGTGTATTTTCAAAAACGATCATTAATATTTTATGGTTGAGCATTTATATTGCTCCTTTCTGAAGTGCCATTGTGCTGAAGATTTGCATTTTTCTAATTTATGCTGATCTCAGGCAGTATCTCTGGGCTTAGCTCCTGCAGAGACTGGACATTTTACTATTATTTTTTCATTTGGTCATTGATTTCAGACATTTCTGTCTCATTTATGCAATGGAAATCTGTTTCTTTCCAGCTTTTTGCTATTAAATTGCGAGTTCTATATTAAAAGGTCTAGGTTGTGCAATGCCTTGGATGCTGGCTTATTTACTTGCAGTATAGAGTAATGTTTTGTTATAGCCTTGGTGTTAATATTATGTATGTGTGAGCTAATGTACTTTGGGGGGAGAATTAATGTATGAGGTTCTTGTCCTCCAAAATAATGACCATTGTAAGAACACCTGGTTCTGGATTTAACTGCAGAATATGATCAATATGAAATGAAATGCTTGTGTTTATTCCTTTCCAACAGAATTCACAAGTGACAGATGCCTGGAACAAGATAGCTCACTCATTTAACTGCACACCAATTGAAGGTAAGGGGTAGCTAATAGGAGGATAAAGTGACAACCAGCAGGAATCAAGGGGATGCTGCCCAGAGGCATGTGTGGGTGATCACAAATATAAGCAAGCTTTCAAACATCTACCAGACTTTGTCTTGCTGGGCACCATAGAGCTGTGGATAGTGCAGAAAAAACATAAATGTTCCAGGAGTCATGGTCAGAGGTGTGTGACAGAGTCCCCTGTTAAACGTAAGTTTGAATGTCGAAGGTGTAGGTTTCAGATTTTCTTTCTTTCAGTCATTCATTCAGTCATGTATTCATTTATTTCTAATAGTATGGAACATTTATTGAGGGAGGGGGTCACCATCATCCACAGCCCTGTGGTTCCCAGCCTGATGAATATCTGTTTAGGGTTGAAAGCTTGCTTACGATTGTGATTCTTAGTGATCTAATAAGGTATCTCCCATCCTTGTTTATAAAGATGTTATAATCTTGCAGCTGTGGTTCAAACAAACCCTAAATTCAAGATTATAGTTGATGTAGAAAATTGTAATATGGCTATTGCTTGCAACCAGCAATATAACTCTTGAGTAAAATTTTTAAGTTTAGTAGCCCTACAGCAGAGGCATATAACTCAATATTCCTGAACTTTGTGCAAAGATGCTTACATCTTTGTTTAAATAATAGTGTGTCTGACCATAATTTTTGCCTTAAAAACTGCAGTGCCTTAGAGTGTCAGCTGCAAGTCATTTTGGCTACTTTGCTGCAGTGCTAATAATTACTGTTCTCTTAACAGGGATGCTATCACACCAGCTGAAGCAGCATGTGATAGACGGAGAAAAGACCATCATTCAGAACCCCACAGACCAGCAAAGGTGCGTGTTTGTATAGAGTTAAAAACAAGCTGAGTTATGAGAGTGAGAGTGATAATTTTTGTTTTCTTAGCATTGCTACTTTGACTCATTAGCTTGTTTTCCAAAGACTACCAGGCAGTGTTTAGATGGAGATTATTTTCTTACTGTGTCTGTTTTTTTCTCAATCTAGAAAGGACCATGAAAAAGCTGAGTTTGAGGTCCATGAAGTTTATGCCATTGATGTTCTCATCAGCACTGGAGAAGGAAAAGTAAGTGTATTTGCTTTGCACCTGTACTGTAAGTACCCTTGAAACTGATAACTTGATCTAACTGCAAATACATTGTTTTCCTAAGTAAATCAGTTTAGTATCTTGGAAAGGCCATTTAGGTTGGCTTTGTATGACTACAATTGTATTCCAGAAACCTTCTTTTACTCTTCGCTCATATTCCATCATGTTAGCAGAATGTGAACTCTTGCTAAAATTGTCTAAAATGGCTTATGTCTTTAGGCCAAGGATGCTGGACAGAGAACTACAATTTACAAAAGGGATCCTTCCAAGCAGTATGGTTTGAAAATGAAAACTTCCCGTGCCTTTTTTAGCGAGGTGGAGAGACGCTTTGATGCTATGCCGTTCACTCTCAGGTACTTCCTTTTACTTTCATGCATTTCCCATCAGAAATTCCACATAGGTACTCAGTGTTTCCTACCACTTGAACAGTGTTTCTTGATGTAAAAGGAAAATGGTCTGTGTGGTGTTCTTTTGAGTTTAAACTGTATGCAGGATGCAGGCATTGTGCAGCACTGTCCATTCTCTGCTACAGAAGTTTGAATGTTGCGCAGTCCATAACTCCTCACAGAAAGCAAAGGAAATAAAACAGTACACTGTGAATCTAATTCAAGTACCTCTTTAGTTTTGCCTATGCCCCTACAAACTGTAGTTGTAGCTATCAGCATTCTGTACTTTATCTTTTGGGCAGGTGCAGACATTTTTCGGCAATAAAATGTTACTGTTTCTTATGAATGCAGAAGGATGTTCACCTAGATTCTTAATCTATTTTTATATTCTATGCAGGGCATTTGAGGATGAGAAGAAGGCAAGGATGGGGGTAGTAGAATGTGCCAAACATGAGCTGCTCCAACCTTTTAATGTCCTTTATGAGAAAGAAGGTAAGCCCTCATAGCTGAATATCGGGAGTATTCCTGCCATACCACTGGAGCCTAGGCATTTGGTTCCTAGGATTCTTCGTGCCCTGTTTTGCCTTAGAACAGGAGTATGGAGTATCTGTGGCCCTCTGACTCTAGCTTACATAATTCCTGACTTTTGACTGGGTTTGCTGGTCCTGATGGAAATTGAAGTTCAGCAATATCTGGAGATGCACTTTCCTTGTTTTGAGCTGCTGTGCTTAATTTTAAAAGGGAATATACAGCATATTTCCAATATGGGAAACGTGCTGCAGCATCTGTATCTATTAGTCAGGCTGCATTTCTGAGAAATGTGTGAGTGGCTGTGATGTGCATTCAGGTTCCATTTAGAGATTGGTAGTAAGGATATATTTTGATAAAAAGATACTCGAGGATAGGCGGGGGCCGGTCCCTGACTGCGTTTTTTGGGGGGCTGAAGGTAGGGGCTTCCTTCTGTTTTGGAGTGCCTCTGAAACCCAGTGCAGACAGGCAATCTCTATTCCTCTCCCAAACCTGGGGAAAGGGCTTGTGCAGTTCTGCAGTATTTTGAAGACATTTCAGGCTGCTTTATGCTGCCAAGCCACTCTAAGACCAGTGCAACACCAGAGGATGAATGCTTGACTCTTTCAAGGGGGAGAGGTAATATTAACAACAACACCAAATTTCCTCTGGTTATTGTTTAAGCCAGATCTGTCCTGTTGTTCCAACTTTCAGTGATATCTCAGTTCAGCAGGAGAAAGACATGTAGGTTGCTGTTCTTTGGACAAGATTTTTCACAGTCTTGTTGGTTCAGATGGGCTGAAGTGAATTCCTCTGCAGATGTTTGAGGACCAGAGCAATCTTAGCTTTTGATGCACATTTTTTTCATCTATATATGAGTGTTGATGTTGATGCAGGCATTGTTCAAAGTATGGCGATGTATTGCTAATTTTCTCCCTTCTTCTTTCCAGGAGAGTTTGTTGCCCAGTTTAAGTTCACAGTGCTTTTAATGCCCAATAGTCCTATGAGGATAACCAGTGGGCCCTTTGAGCCTGAACTCTACAAATCAGAATTTGAGGTGCAAGATGCAGATCTGAAGGTCAGTGTAGTGACAGTGCTCTTGATCTAAGTACCAAATGACAGTAAATTTTGAGAGTAAATTTTGTCATAGCTGAGAGAGGTATTTGGGTTTCCTGTGCTCAGGGTGAATGCAGGTCTTTGTCTAAACAGAGGAAGCTGCTCCAAGACAGCAAGAGCGACTTTTCAGATGGAAGTACCTTTTAAGCCTTGGAGCATTTAAGGTCTGGGAAATGGCCCAGCAAAAAGCAGGAAAAATGGTATTTAACTTGTGTTTCTATAATGATAAATAATATCCAGTATTTCTCTACATGCACTGAACAGATGTTGGAATTAGCTATCTTCTTTAGTCAGAAGAGATACTGGGGAGAATTGTGCTCCCACTTGCAACTGGCCATGCATCTCATATAGAGATGTTTTGGGATGCATGTATGTGTGTGTATATATTCCTTTTTTTTTTTTACACTTATACTTCAACTTCTTTACAATTCACACTACTCTGCAGAAAAGAAGGTAAAGATTTTCTTCAGTGTGAATTGTAATGAAGTGGAAGTACAAGTGTAAAAAAAAATAGGAAGATTTCTGAATTAAAATCAGAACTAGATTTGAAGGCTGTAACTTAGTAATATTAGTACTGGCCTGTGTAAGACAGGTGGCTCTTTTTGCAAGTGCATTTATGCTATGTGATTTTATAAGTGGTAGTAGATTGTGTCTTATATAAAGAAGTTGGGAGGTTCCCAAACATGTCCAGTTATGGCGACTGTCGAGTAATCCTCAGAAGACAGGTGAAAAGTGAAGTAGTTGGCTCCAAAGGATGCCTAGCTCAGCTATGTGTAATGCCAAGTAACAATCCCCATGTGTGCCAAGCATTCTAGGGCTGGCTGCATTCCTTTGTGGCTGGCAGCAATAATCCTTTTAATTTTGTCTTAAAGAAGAAGACATTGCACTCTAGGTCTCTCCCTTTGCCCCTGACATTTCCTATTTTTTTTAGGCACTCTTACAGAGCTCAGCAAGCCGCAAGGCCCAGAAAAAGAAGAAAAAGAAGGTAACTTGGTGATTATGTGATGGTGATCTTATGGATATTAACTCTGTTGTTCTTCTAAGGCTCCCCTAATTATTATAATGTCTCAGAACTGCCTAAACAGAGTCAGTGTTATGGGCTTGGGTCGATAACTGCATTATAATTTCACTACCATGTACAAGCTGGTACTATAGTACTCACCCTTGGATGGTGTTGGTAACTTTATAAATTGACACTTTGACATACTTTATTAAGCAAATAATTTGCAATACATTTGGATTCTGAAAATTTAAAAGCAGCTATCACATGATCTGAGATAGAAATCTGTACAGGGGAGGTTTCAAGAGACTTTGATCTGAAGAATGTAAATCCCGCAAGTACTCATTCCCATCTGTTTGGCAATGGTTAGGCCTCATCTTGAAAACTGTGTCTAGTTCTGGACACCGCACTTCAAGAAGGATGCTGACAAATTGGAACAAGTTTAGAGGAGGGCAACAAGAATGATCAGGGGGCTGGAAACCAAGCCCTATGAGGAAAGACTGAAAGAACTGGGTATGTTTAGCCTTGGGAAAAGAAGACTGAGGGGAGAGATGATAGCCCTTTTCAAATACAGTACTTGAAAGGCTATCACACAGACAGAGGCAGGACCAGTTCTCAATCAACCCAGAGTGCAGGACACACAACAGTGGGCTCAAGTTAAAGGAAGCCAGATTGCTGAATATCAGGAAAAACCTGGTGGTATTTAAGAGAAGTGTAGACAACCACCTGAAAGACATCCTTTGATTTGTATTCCTGTACTCAGCAAGGGGTATAACTCGGTGGCCCTTCCAACTTCATTATTCTATGATTCCATGTATGTTTGAGCTCTCCTTGGAGGATGAAACCTCTTCATTATACTTTCTACCCTGTTTCCCTGAAAATACGTAAGACTGGGTCTTATATTAATTTTTGCTCCAAAAATGCATTAGGGCTTATTTTCAGAGGATGTTTTATTTTTTCATGTACAACAATCTACATTTATTCAAATACAGTCATGTCTTCTGGTTGCTGGACAATGGTGGAGGGCGGGGTTTCACTTAACTAGGGCTTATTTTTGGGGTGGGGCTTATATTACAAGCATCCTGAAAAAATCATACTAGGATTTATTTTCAGGTTAGTCCTTATTTTCAGGGAAATGGGGTAGCTAATAGCACATTTTAAAGTTAAAGCCAGGCAAGATTTCTGCAAATCTATTTTTCCTAACTGCCAAAATATTTAACTGTACTTTCAGACACCTAATAAATATTATCTACTCTCTTTGTTCTTTTAGGCCTCTAAGAATGCTGAGAATGCCACGACAGGGGAAACAGCAGAAGAGAATGAGGCCGGTGACTGAATGGTTCTGGCTTCCTCTACAGAGCACCTGATCCTTCCTCTCACATGCCCCCTACTCAAAACAAGAGAAACAAATATCCCTTAATGGCTGTTTGTCTTATAGGACCAAATGACAAATAGCTTGGACTTCCCACAGAGTGCAACCAGCTGTGACTGACATTGCCACTGAGGGAGGAGTCTCTTGGCCATTTCCAAATACTCTTAAAAGTGTGAACTAATAAAATCAGGAATAAAACCTACTCTACATCCAATATTTCTAGCCTTTGATACTAGTTTTGCTCATTAGAGGTGAACAAATACAGTTCTGAGCAGAACAGGAAGCTTTATTTTATCCCCTCCCCCTCCTCTTGCAGGTACGCTGATTCCTCTGAAAAATTCTTTGGCATCATTTCACAACTGTTCAAACATGCAAAATTCCCACCCTAGGTTTATAAACACATGATACGGAGGTAACACAATTCGCATGCCTTCTTGCTGTTCTGGTCTTCAGTCATTTTCCCCCTACTTAATACTCTAACATTTGCTCCTTTTTGTGTTCTCAAACTCTCAATATTGTGTTTTAAAAGGAGGCTGGAAGTTGATTTAAATATCTTTTTCTGGATAGACAACATCATTTGGTGTCTGTCTACAAACTTTTAATTTTTTCAATCTGTTTTTTATTATTATTTTAGTATAGCCCCAGTGCAAACATACATTAAGTATCTTGCCAAATCTTTCCCAAGAGCAAGAGACAGTAAAATGGATTGATATAAAAGCCCTTTAGCGCTCAAGTTAAGGCTTTTTTTCATTGGAAGGGATGTGTTCTGCACCCCGCGGTTCCCCCAATTAAAAACTTGCCACTTGATAAGTTGTAAAGAACAGGATTTTTCAGAAGAATCACATGTCTTTTTCTACATAAATGAAAGAAGCGTTTAAAAAGTGGTTGGACCTGGAATAAGCTCCATTTGTGGGAATCTCTTTTCTATAGTATGTCTTTTTAAATTGTCCAGTTAAATTGTATATGATTGTGTGGGATTTTTTTTCTATTGTATTCCAAATCAGGTCCTTGTCTAGGCACTTAATGTTGCTGAACTGATACTTGTAAAACTGCCTTGTAAAGAAAGGAGAGCACTTGTTCTCTCTGACTGACAAAGTCCTTTTGACCAGTATATTTGGAGTTTAATACTTTAAAAATATCCTACAGTTCTTACCAAAGTTGAAGTCCATAAAATAAAATAAACCAGTGTCATTTCCCCCCCGCCCGAAAAGTCCTTCCCATCTGTCTTTGTAAACTTTCTACTTTAATTTCTAATCTCTTCTCTTTTGTTAATGGTTGCTTTCACCATTGGGGGAGATGAAATGGGGAACACATTGAGTGGAGGCTGTGTCTTGTGGAAGTCGGGCATGGAGGGTCATGCACAAGACTTGCAATTAACTGCCAGTTTGGTTTTACACTGCTCCCTATTGTTAACCATGAACTTAAGGGAAATGGATGGGTGGGTGGGAAAACAACTTGTTCCTTACAAGGAACATTTTAGCATTTCTAAGTAATAAGTTTTCTTATTGCCCTTCTGTAAAGGAGAGCCTGTGTTCAGCCACATTACCAGTTTATAAACCACTAAGACTGCCAGGCGGTTTATTTAATTTTCTATCTTTATTTTGAAAGCAGTTGTATCTCTTGAATTTAAAATGATGCAGTTGGACGTTTTGGAAGAAAATTCCCACCAATTGTTCTGTAATTTGATTTTTTTTCCAAATAAAATTGATTAGAAGCCTATGGATAGATGAATGGGTGTACTATGTTGATGGGATGAGGAGTTGAAATCTTCATTCTAAATGTGATATGTATGAAGAAATTGTGTATCTTTTATGCATCTAATAATATCCTGTTTCCCCGAAAATAAGACCTAACCTGAAAATAAGCCCTAGTATGATTTTTCAGGATGCTCGTAATATAAGCCCTACCCCAAAAATTAGCCCTAGTTAAGTGAAACCCCGCCCTCCAACATTGTGCAGCAACCAGAAGATAACATGACTGTAAAATAAAACATCCCCTGAAAATAAGCCCTAATGTGTTTTTTGGAGCAAAAATTAATATAAGACCCGTCTTATTTTCGGGGAAACATCTGAGAAAATTAGAAAGGAGTGAGTACTTCTTCACTGTTGCTAGCTGCCGGATTTTGCCAGCTGCTGATAGCCCAGAACTACCTCAAAGTCTAGAATATGGCTTTTTTAGTTAGTCCCTTGTATGGCCTTAGTAAGTACCAGCAAGAAACCTTACGCTAATGAAGTATGTTGTCTTTTAACATCTGTAGATGAATGAAGCCTTTGTGCTCTGTATCATTTTGAAAAACTAGATTTCTTTATTACACATGAGGCCTTGTTTGTTCTGAAGCATATTTCTGGTGGTTTTTATTTTTATTTTTTTATTTTATTTTGGCATGAGTGGTATATGGAAAGTTTAGAAATCTGGTACAAGAACACATTCAGTGGAAACTGGGTTTTTTGTTTGTTTTTTGCAAATGTCCCTGTCCTATGGTCTGTTATATAGTGAGTAATGGGAGTTACTTCCATATTGGTTCTGCGCTAGTTTTTGAAATAGTTCGATCATGGAAGTAAATGCCATGTAACTGTTTCATAAAACTTATTTTGTAACATTGCCCTGAGCGGTAAAAATAATTTTACTTGTTTCTTGTTTGTCCAAATATTAGCATTTGGCAACTATTTTGGAAAATTTTCACTTGTAAGTTACAATAGTTACAGTTTATGATAGCAAACACAGAGAATTCAGTTTTTTCTTGGTCAAAAACAAAATGTTAATCTTTAGATTTATTGTCTAGCAGCATTCTCCTTTCTCCTCTTCCAGAAAAAGCAATATATTATGAGCCCCTTCAGGTGCCCAGGGGTCTGTGAAACTATCCATCCTTAAGGTGATTACTTTATTAAGACAGGATGCAATAAGTTAAGAATTCTAAATCTTTTGCTGTTATCGAGTAATTAATGTGACATACTTTATGTGTTCTGAATGTGCTTTAAATTGAGTTTGGTATTAATGAGTTTGCAGATCCATTCTTTGAAGACTACTTGCTCTTTTGGGGAAAGTCTTTTAGAGCTGGCAGTTACTCAGTAATAGTTTACTTATGGAGTTGAATTAAAATTATTGTTTTTTTATCATGTGGCATTTTATCAGTGCCAACTCATAATTTCAAACCATTGTTTTCCATTTGACTAGGTTATATCTCACTTTAAAAATGCACATCAGAGTGTGACCTTTGTATCCCAGTTCAGCTGTGCTGGATTTCAGGTTTGAAGAGAAAGGGCAGAATACAAATAAAGAAACTGAATATGTTTTGAGGGAGGGGCTGAAAATAACATTAAAAAAACTTGATGCTTCCTGAAGGAGTGTTTCCCTCTCATCTCTTCCTTAGAAAAATAGAGTTATGCGTATTTACTGTTCTCAAAAATATAATTTCTGCCTGTATCTGAAGCCTAATGCTCCAGGGAAATACATTTTCAAGTCTTTTGGCCTTTCACAAAGTCAGACTCCCTTTTGATTTGAACAGTCTATTGAGGTAACAACCCAGTTGAATATTCATTGGCCATATAGTTTTAGAATAAGCTTGGCTCTTCCACTTCTGGTTTTAATTGTGCCAGCTATTAGTATATAGTATACATCCATAAAATTCTATATTCTGTTATATACATTGTATATTTCATGCAGCAAACATATACTGTACAGTCTACAATGGGCTATCATGATTGGATGCAACATGCTGCTGCTGAACAAGACCAACCTATGTGTTTGCAAGTTCTTTTGGTAGCTGGATAGACAGACTCATGGGAAAAATTACATGGGGCATCTTGAAAATACTGTACAGTAGAACTAAGACATTGATATTTTTGACAGCAAGATATACTTTCTCCGGCTGGGTGTATTTCCTAGGCGGTGCAGTGTACTAAAGCAAAGCGTGCTGCTTATATACAGCCCCATAGTGCTTCAAGCACTCTGGGCGGTTTACGCACGCTACACATTGCCCCCCCCCACAAGCTTTCCTTGTTTTCCTGATACAAGAGCATGGTACTTTGGGTGAAGCATATGCTGCCTTTAATCCTACAACAGCACGACATGAACCTCTGCAGTTGAGGCCAAGATAGCCTTCAGAGAGAAATGGCATGTAATAGCTATATTCATTGCCCAAATGGCAACACTTTGTTCACAACTACCAGTTAACTTTTCTAACAGGTAATATGAAGAGAAATGTGCTCAGTATATCCCCACCATAAAAGCCTGTGATGAGAAGAGAAAATGGCCCATCAGATTTATGTAGTCCGGTATTTGATACATCAGTCAAAATCCAGAAGAATGGCACATGGAAGGGCAACTACATAGCAGTTTTTGCTCTCCTTTGCACAGTAAGTTACATGTCTGGTTTTTACAGCCACTATCCAATCTGGTGTGCAAAACTGGGAAGGAAATGCTAACACAATGACCCTTACATGAATGGGATTTGGACCATCTAAATTCTAAACTAACAAATCCACTGAATTCTCAAGTCATTGTAAAGAAAAAAACCTGAATGGTACAACTTGAGAATGACAAATAGCTAACTAAATTGCTGAAAGGCGAATCTGCAGCAGGCCACAAATTATTTTCCTTTTAATATCAGAAGCAGTGAGTTCTCAGGTGTATGATCCATTGCTGGAAATGTTTGTAGTGTTTTCTATGTCCTTTCCTTTGTTTCTTGTAAGAAAGCCAAATAAAGGTAAAAGTTCAAAGTGTATAGGCCAGCTGCTGGTCATTTAAGTCTAAGAGGTTTGTCTTACTATATGTTTCTCTTAAGTTGCAGTCCTATGTGTATTTATTTATTCCCCTTTGGCACTTGCGGCTGGATATTTCAGGGTTTTAAAAGCACTGGCTCTCTGTCAGCGTTCACATGGTAAAATAAAGATACAGTATTGCTTTATAAATGCTATACTGCACGGTACCATCTTTCCCATGAAACCAATTTCCACTGAATCAGTTTTACTGCAAAAATACTACTCTGCCTGCTTGGAATTAGTACCAAAATATAAACTGAAGAAAAAGCATGTTATGAAGCTTGGTAAGCTGGATGTGGTCAAACAGGAGATGGTTGGACAGTGTCATCGAAGCGACCAACATGAATTTGACCCAAGTCCGGGAGGCAGTGGAAGACAGGAGGGCCTGGCGTGCTCTAGTCCATGGAGTCACAGAGTCGGACACGACTAAACAAGAAGAAGCTGTATATGATACATGGTCAGGAAGAGTCGGGCACGACTAAACAAGAAGAAGCTGTATATGGTGCATTCCCCATATGTGAGCATGTTAACCACAAAGTAATTGCTGAATAAGCAGATTTATTTAAAAGTTACTGTAAGTCCAGCTGCTCTACTTCTTTAAATATCTTCATTCACTGGTGATCGCAAAAGAAAGCAAGGTGTGTTTTCTAATTTACACTTGTCTTTTGTCACTCCTAGGAGCAGAGGCCAAATATCGGGAGTCCCCTTAGTAAGAGAAAACCAGCCTATAAATCAAACAAATGATAAACATTGACATTACATGGTACATCACTAAGGCTGTACAGAAGACAACGGAAATTCCGCAAACTTGCGATCCAGGCTACATGCCTTTTGCGCTCCAATATTTTCCAGGTAGCAGACCATAAGTCTTCATTAGATTTATAATTATTTTCTAGCATTTGCTAATGCTGTATGAAATACGGTCAGTGTGCAGACGAGTAAACTGCGAGTTTACCAAATGCCGGCAGTTCACACTTGCCGACCTTGAAATTTAACCGAGTCCTCGGTTATTCAAGTCGTTCGGAGAAACGGGTTCTTGCGGTGGACAGCGGTACTTAGTTTCACCACTAGAACACTAATCCAAATAAATCACCCTCCAGAGCTACATTCTGGGCATATTTCTGTGACCAAATTTCTTGTAAAAATGGAAGGGTTTAACCGTCTGCACGCCACCCCCGTTGTTTTCAGACTGCAGCGGGTTTTACGTTCAAAATGGCGGCGGACAGACGTAAGCCTGAATCTGAAAGGAATAGAAAAGCTTCCTGCAAATGGACAAACTACATATTCCGTCATGCACTGCGAACGGCGGTTTGTGACGTCAAATGTCCGCGCGCGGAGTGAGCTATAAATAAGAACGGGCGAGAGTGTTGGGCCTTTCGGGTGCTGTTGCCGCCGTCGCCATTTTGTGTGCGAGCGGCGTCGTGAAAACTGGCGCGGGGTTGGCTATCCATCGCCATCCGATTGTAGCCTTCCTGCCTACTCTCGAGAAGTGAGGCCGGGGAACCCTCCCCGACATGAGAGCTAAGGTAAGAGCAGCATTGGGCTGGGTTATGTGTTTATTTGGGGTGCGCTGGGTGTGGGCTGGATTTGAGGCCTGCCTGCTCCTTCTTGGTGTCGGGAGGCCGCCCTTTGGAGAGTTTCACATGGGCTGTTAAGGACGGGGAGTTGGGCTGGTAATTGAAACGAAGAACTGGAAAGAATAGAGGGAACTGTTTGTAGTTGAGATTTTGTTGAGGTGTTTGGATCATACGATGAAAAAGATTTTGGTGGAGGCCTGTGGTCTTTTAAATGGCCAGCCCGACATTAAAAGTTCAGGAAATTAGGACCTGTCGTGTGTAATGTGGTGCAATAAACAGACAAAGATGCTTTTTTTTCTTCGGGAGGAGGAGGTTTTGCACGGGGATATGAACATTTGCTATTTTAGTTGAGGGGAAATTTACTTAAGATAGTGCTCATTTTCAGACTAGAAAATATGGATACCTTGTGTCCCTGTGTATGCATCTGGTGTAGATCCCAGCTTTATTTTGCTGCTGAAGTGCACCACTTCAGAGGATAATAACCAGAACTCTTGATATAGAAGTATTGGTCGAGGTCAGCCAAAAACAATTAAATATTCTAGGTAATTATTATATAAAGGAGTTAACATGTGTTCAGTTGTGTCATTTGTTGCTATAAAATGTACTGATCTTTCTCTTTTTCTTGATATTTCTATTTCAGTGGAGAAAGAAGCGGATGCGTAGGTATGTGCATATGGTTTTTAATTTGAGCTCACTAGTTGGTTGTCTGAAAGTTTAATACTATTTTCATTATAATTTTTCCTATTGACTTTTAATGAGGCACATGTCTGTGTTGGTTATTTATATGGCGATAGTTGAAATGCAAAGGCCACAGTCTTACCTATGCTGAGAACTAGTGTATTAAGGAGGCTTGAAAGGAAGGCCTAAGCATGTTTATTCAAAGTCCCATTGAACTCATCATGACCAAATTTCTAGTATGTATGGTTAAAATTGCTGCTAAATGTTTATGTAGTGGTTCCAAGAATCTAAGCAACATAATGCAGTTTAACTGTGCAAAATTGAGTTTGCCCAGATCTCAATAGAGTGGGGACAGACAGCTTGAAAATTGCAGTCACTATGCTGCAAGACATGTGAATGAAGTAACTCAAGTAAAAGATCTCCAGTGAAGAGCCCTATTATACAATGGAGTGTGTACCAGTGGAGTACAAACTGTTTCAGGCTTTGTCTTTTGCTGCAGCTCTGACCACCTTCAGTGAGAGCCATGTGCAGAGTAATCGTTTATGAAATGTGGAGCACAATACTGTTCATGTCTCCCCCCATCTTTTGTCCACCAATCCTTTCATACAAAAGTCCTCCTAATTTTCCCTAAGGTTTTTTTGATTCTGAAGTTAGAGGAAAGTAAGAGTTCAGGGTGTCACTACTATTAAACCATTGCAAACTGGAAGCCTTTGAGAATCTATTGCAAATCACTTGGATATCCATCAGTAACTACTATTCTCTTCTACCCACCCCTAACATAGCTAGAATGAGGCACTACATGTTGTATTCCCAAAGGTAGGCCATCTATCAAGGCTGCACTCCACAAGTTCAGCCTATACAAGACAAAAAGCAGTTTTACTCAGATTCCACAAGGAATAAATAGAGCATTGGCAGAGCACTGTATACATGCAGACCTGCATCCAGTACTAGTCATATTAGTCAAAATACAGAGTTGCGGCAGTAGGTTTTTTCTTTGATTTATGATCCCCGTTTAAAGTATTTAGTTCTCAATGCCTTCTATTTGTTCTTTGCCACAAACAAGTTTCATGTCTCTTCAGACTCATGAAGTGCCCGAGAATTGTATGAAGTGCTGTTCTGTGAAAGTAGCACTTCCCAGGTGCTCTTTACAAAACTGTTCTGTTTCAGTATGGAGCTAAACATTTATAGTAGGGATGTTAAACTTGAGCATACTTATAAAAGAATAAGCTAACAAATAACATGGTTTCACAAATATGCATTGGATTGGGTAGTACATGTAAGAATTTCATTTAGATTAGAATCACATACTTGGTAAAGATCTGCTTTCTTAAACTGCATTAATAGTTATTCCCTACTTACCCTATTCATAAAGCGTTTTAGTGGAAATCAACCTTGAATTTTCCTTATGCTGTGACTATCCACAGCACTCTTCAACACATCCCCTGCTGCTAAAGGAAATGTTTCATATATTGAGCCAAAACCTGAAATATTTTGCTTTTCTTGTTAGTAGTGTCTCTCAAGGCTAAGATGTATGCTACTTCAGGATCATGTACTGTCATCTAAATTACTGGCTCTTAACCTTGGGTTACTCAGGAGTTTTGGACTGCAACTCCCAGAAGCCTTCACCACCTGCTGTGCTGACTGGGGTTTCTGGGAGTTGCAGTTCAAAAGCATCTGAGTAACAAAGGTTAAGAACCACTGATCTAAATACCGATAGTAAAATGGAAAAAAGGGACAAAATGCTTAGTGTTAATTAATTGATCAGGGTCAAGTGACTTACCAGTAAACTCCCACTGAATTGCAGAACATACTAAGTGAAGAATCCAAGTGTTAAAGAACCCTGCAGCAGCCTTCCCTATTCTTGTATCCTCTGATCATGTTGGACTACACCTGTGTAATACCCAGCCATTGAGACAGATGGCTAGACCAAATAACCTCTACATGTGTTAAAGACTCCAAAATGGTCTTGACACAGAATGGATTTTATATTTCAGATGGTTCCTGTCAGTCCCCTCATGGGAGTGGCGCATGAACAGTGATGTGTTCTGCATGGTGGGTTGGCATATTTGTGAAAGGGAGGTAGGGTTTTGTATCAGAAGAAATGAATATGCTGATGGTAGCTGTAGCAGAGTTACAGCTCTGATTTATACTTTAGTGCACTTTCTTGTACATTAAAGTAGAAACTAAAAACTGACAATGTATTTATGATTCTTTTTTTCTTCCTAAACTGGAGAGAGCTGTTGCAAAGACAATGGATGTTTCTAAATGGCAGCTGCAGCACTCTGTATAAGTTGCCTTGCTTAATGGGATTTCCAATTACTGTAGTGATCTCTCAGGTCTGCAATATATTGCTTGTACTGACAGTTAAAGAATATTACTTTTTATAGGCTGAAGCGCAAAAGGAGAAAGATGAGGCAGAGGTCCAAGTAGACATCGTACACAGTGCTACTAAAGCTGCAAAACGGAGTATGGAAGTATGGTGCTTGGGAAGCTGATTTCCAGATACAATGCCTTCTGTCTGCTGCTGCTGTTAGAAGACTCCTTGCCCATCTTCAAGAGGTTCCATCTTTAAAGCCTAGGAGCTGTGGTTCTTCAAGGATGGTGCCCCTGAGCTTTGCTATTCTGGACTCATCCTCTTTTTTGTGGCTTGATGTAGTAACTGTACAGAATAAAACCCTTTTCAGAGGAAGTTTTTTTCCATTTTAAATGTTGAGTCTTCAGTAAATGGTTTTCATATGTTAACCCAACATAGTTTCTATATGGCTTTAAATTCACTTGAAAAAACTATTTGCAGTTTTTTCTACTCGTGTTTTTCATAATTGCTTATATAAGAGCTGTCATATTCCACTGTAATAATAACGGCACCAGGGGTGGGATCCAGTTCTTTTTCCTTCTGGCTGAAAGATGTTGTTTTTCAGAGGTCCCATGAAGTGATGACATTCTGCTTTCAAACTGGTTAGCACAATTTTTAAAATAATTTTGCTGAAGTAGTTGTGCTGGGACCAAAATCAGCTGATAAAATTGGCTCATGTTGTTCAGCTTTACAGGTATCATTAGCAAGCCCTCAGCACTGGGATGTGTCTGTTAATTGCCTACTTATTTTAACACAGCAGCAGGCTTTCCCTTTTTTGGGAGGGATAATATACATGTGGGAGGGAGTGCCACAGGTTACTTGGGAGTGGTGAAGGCCCCCTCTTGTTTCCTCACCAAGGTTCCCTCTAAGACGTGCAGCTCCAGCTTCCCTCCTCCATGCTGCCCCTTTGATCAGGATCCCACCCATGAGGGCTGAGTTGTGCCTGCATGCAGAGGATAAGTTGTGAGAGGCGGAGCTCTGCCCAGTGGGGCTGAACATTAGAGGGTATGTTGGTCCTCACCAAATGCACCTTATTTTAAAGCCCAGGCAGGCTCATAAAGAGAGTTGTAGTCCTTCATTTACAGTTTTATAAGTCAAAAACTACTTTGAATTGTGCCCAGAAATGGACTGGCAGTCAGTGGAGCTACTGAAACGGGAGTGGAGTCCGTGGAGTTAAGAAGTTTGGGGAACACTAGAGCAATTCAAAGATGATGTAATTAGGGCATGTGTGAGTGTGACCGGATCCATCATCTCTAGGAATAGGTTTACCTTTGCACTAGTTTTAACTGCAAATGCATTCCTGTCTATTGGGTAAAGCTGGTGAACAGTACTTTTTCCAGGTTGTCCAGAAGCATTTGGAAGGCAATATTATCAAGTTCCTTGCAAACTTGATTAACTGAAATACGTAATTTTAATATTGTATATGCTATAGCACTGGTTCTTAACCTTGGGTTACTCAGGTGTTCTTGGACTGCAACTCCCAGAAGCCTTCACCACCAACTGTGCTGGCTGGGGTTTCTGGGAGTGGACTGTCATAGTATGTTTATAAAAATAAAGTAGCAGCCTTGGTATATGTAAAATTTGCCCCCCCCCCCCCCCCAGAGAACAATTTCCATCAAATTCACCATTTGGGGGGAAGTGAGTGATGTAGGTTGAGCAGTAGCACATGGACACACAGGTAACTTAAAGGCTGTCTACACAGGCTTGATTGGATTGGTATGGGCTAAATAGGATCAGTTGGAGATGTGGTATGACATTTTGGTGTGATTGTGTTCAAGTGGTGCATGCACCTCAAGCCTATTGGTCTAACTTCCTTAAGAAGGCTAAATTAGAAAGAATGTCTTGGTCCCCTGCTGATTAAAAATATTTTTTCCTTCCCTCTACTCCATGGAGGAGCAGAGGAAAGAAAGTGATTTCCTTATTTAGTACAGTATGTGTTAATCTCTGTTGCTGTATCAGAAATCCCTCTCCCATCTGCTTCTGAGAGGAAGTTCAATTTTTCTTCTTTCTTTTCAAGGTGGTGCAGTGCATCAATACTATAATTTGTTATGTACTGTTGACTCTCATCCAACTTCTGATGACTCTTAGTGAATAACCTCCAAAATGTGTCCTCAATAGCTCTTACAAACTCAAGGCTTTGACTTCCTTTATGGAGTCAATCCTGCTGCCTTTTCCTTTTTCCAGCATTATTGTCTTTTCCAGTCAGTCTTGAAGCTCCCAAATTATGGCAACCTCAGTTTCATCATTTTTGTCTCCAAAGATAGTTCAGACCTGATTTGATCTAGGACCCACTTGTTTGTCTTTCTGACAATCCAGGGTATCCACAAAGCTCTCCTTGAGCACTATGTTTCAAACCAATCAGTTTTCCTGTTGGCTTTCATTGCTGTTCAGCTTTCACACCTGTACATAGTAATTGGGAATACAATAGCATGGATGATCTTGGCCTTGGTCTCTAGTGACACATCTTTAGACTGTCATAGTATGTTTATAAAAATTAAGTAGCAGAGAAATTGTTTATCGGTTTTGTGAAGTGCCTAAGCTCTCTTAAGTCATTTCATAATATTGGCAAATTGGCAATGGAAGGGCTGCAAACTTGCTTTACACATGCTGGAAACAAACCAAAATGGAGCAATCTGGTCCCCACAGAAAGGTGTGGGTAGGAGCAATCTGGGTTGGCTCACCCCCGTTTATTACTAGGAAAAAAATGAGTAAACCAGCTTGCCTGCAGTAGACTTAAATGGCAAGATAAATGCCTGTTTGACTGCACCCTAGTTTGGCCAATATGAGCCTGAAACATAACTGAAGTGGTTGGGAGAAGTTAGCTGTTCCTGGACTAGTTGAGGTATTACATCTTTTTTTCTTTGCATCCTTGATTTTTTTAGCTCATTGTTTCATGGTATTTCACCAGACATTTTGAGCCTGAGTGACAGCTTCATTTGCATGATCGATATTCCTTCAGGTACACATGTAAATAAAAGCCAATTTTTTCTTAATGAAGTTATTAAAAATAAAAGCCATTTTTTCTTAATGGAATTATTTTCTTAATAAGTTGGGCAATACAAAGTAAAATCTTGAAGTAAAATACCAAAAGATGCCAAAACCGTGTGACAGTTGGTAATCACATAGATTAGTGTGTGCCCCCACCCCACCCCAAGATAAGGCGTTGAAGTACCTGTAGTGTGTTTAACGAAGAAGATATTGTTGATGCATTTTAAGATGCGAGTTGATTGCAGTCAAAGTTTCCACTCAGATCTGAGTCTTTGAAACAGACTGAAACTTCTTCGGGGGGTGGGCGGTGTCTGTGTGTGTGTGTGTGAGAGAGAGACCTGTTTTTAAACCTCCCCAGTTTCATGAAGATGGGTGTGTGTGTGTGTGAGAGAGAGAGAGACCTGTTTTTAAACTTCCCCAGTTTCATGAAGATGCGTGACTCCACCGCTGTCAAAGGTGGGATCGGAACAATCGAGATCTAATCACGTCGTTGGACCGACAGAGCAAAGCAAAGATCGGAGAGGCGGGGAAATCGGGAAAACCAACACAGCAGCAAAGCGTCGGCCTTTAAAAAACCTCGTGTCCAAGTGGAGACGAATCGCGAGACCTCATGGAGACCCAAGTGCTTTCAAGTTTCGCCTTGCTAACACGTGCAACAAAACCCTGGCAAGGAAAGGTCGGCGCTCATGCGCGGCAAGAACCAGGACCCGAGCCCGGGCGAGCGCCTCCAGCTGCCCTTCCACAACCCACAAGTCACGCAGCAAAAGCCAGCGGGCCCGGAAGGCCATGCGGGTGCGTGAATCCCTTCCTTCCCTCCCCTCTCCTTTGGAAGAGGCAGCCGCGGTCGTCTGTGCCCGCATAGCAGGCAAAAGCCAAAGAAGCGAAACAGGACAAGGCAAAGGGCGTGCGGCGCCCCTTAAACTAGACTTAACTATTCACGAAAGCTCACATTAAAATATAATACTGTAGTCTTTTAAGGTGCCGCATGCTTTTGTCTTTTTCTCTTTCGTTTCTTTGGCTTTTCCCTGATAATTCCCTCAGCTTGTTTCTTTCTTTTTAACGGCCCGAAGGGAGAAGCGAGCCCGGGGCTGCGCTGCGTCGCCGTGACAACCCCGAGAGCCGGCCGCCTCCCTTCGTCACTCCGCGGAGAGGAAAAAAGCATAGAGTACTTCCGGTGGCCACGGCCAGACGGGGAAGTTCGCGCCGGAAGGGGTTGTGCTTTGTTTGGACCAGAGGAGGTCGGAGTGAGGGTGAGTGGGTGGAGGCGGGGGGGGGGAAATTGAGTGGGAACTGCCACCGCGGCCTTGGCTCCCCGTCTTGTTCCGAGTTGGGGTCCTCCTTCGCCCTCTCACCCCACCCCACCCCACCCCACTCCGCTTCCGTGGGAATGAAGGCTGCTCCTGGCGTCCCTTCGGTCCTGCTGGGCCCCTCTTGTCCCTGGGCCTCCCCCTCCCCCGGGAAGACCCGGCTCCCCATCTCAGTTTTTCACTCCCGGGAGGTTCCCTTCCTTCCCCTCATGAAGGCGAACTGACTTCCGCTGGCCTACCTCGGACCTTTTCCTTTCAGGAAGTTTTCAGATTTGTTTAAATGGCTTAATCTTATTTTCTAAGGGGTGTTTGCTTGTTTGCTCTTTGAGGGGGGGAGAAATAGAGTTTAGATGAGGTTTCGCTATAGGGGTGGCGAAGCGGCAGGCGAGCTCCGAATTAGGGACGAGGTTGCTGGGAAACTGGACTCGGCAGCGGGATGATGTGTCTTCTTCGCACCCCTGAGATCAAGAAGGTTGGTGCTTAGTCTTCCTTCCCCCCCAAAACAATACACCACACTGCTAGTTATTAAAAGAGTTAACAGGGAGCCCGTGCAGCAGAAACGTCGTTTAACGTCTGATGGCAATTTTTAGAATATATATTTTAAATTCATTTTAATTATTTTGCCCTTTTATTTTGCCTTTTTATTGTATTTTAAATG